CAACCCAGGGCCTAAAGCCAAGTAGGAAGAGGAACGAGAGGAACAGTCATCGAGTGCCCTTCGCCCCACCCATTTCAAACTGGCATTTCACTGACGTGCACCCTAAGTCACCCGCTGGCACCCATTTCTCGCAATGAACAAGGTGTCCGCCAGGGAGGCGTGTGAGAGGCAGGGTTGATGCTAAAGTAAAAAGAACATGGAAAATAAATAGATGAAAAGTTTCATTTTTATTGATACACCATGATTGCCTTTGGGATACATAATAATGTAAAATTAGCAATATTTAAAAGTAAAGCTTTTAAAATCACCTTAATTCATACATTAAGCATTAATTTCTGGAAAAATAATATCTTATTTTAATAGTGTTCTTCTTATAAGAAAAAAGCTTCCCAAAATAGGAGATTTATAAGTTAGATTTTATTTGTACAAAAAAAAATTTTACTCTACCACATCAACTACCATCTACTAAAATCCAAAACATAAAAGCTTGAAGGGCCAAAATAGAGTCACAGCCTCATAACATTATCAAAGATGAATCTTAAAGATCTATAAAGACCTCCTGATAATTTAATCCCGTTAGCAGAAAACCCAAACGCACTGCCCTCAAGTCGATGCCTATAGGAGAATGCCCCTGGGAGTTTCTGAGACGTGTAATCCATCTTTCTCCTGACGAGGAGCTGGTGGTTTTGAACTGCTGACCTTGCAGTGAGCAGCCCTACACGTGACTACTACGCCACCAGGCAGCAGAGGAGCAGATCATGGCCTCATGACAATGTGACATAGAAGAACGATTCTTAAATACATAGCAACACAGCTAACAACATACCCCTGTTGCGTAGACACAAAGACATCAATGTAGAAGTGTCTTTCGGAGCTAGAAACTCAGAAAGTGTCTAGAAAGCCTCTCGCTCCCCATGTATGTGGTACATGACCGAAATGAAAAGAGCCTGCTCCAGAGCAGGCAGCAATGTGGCACGATGTGGTCTTGGAGGAGGCAGATGAAAATGCAGCTCACTCGTTGAAAACGTTTTAAAAACAAGTGTACACGAAGAGATATAAACTTCATTTAAAATGTTCGTTTATCACTTTTATTCTTGAAAAAGTACCATGAAGGTCCTCAAAGTAGTGATCAAAATAATCGCACCTCAGATGACTTCCAATATCGTTAAACCGTTGATACTAGCACAAATAGCATCTTGCACAGATCATTTATAAATTCTGAAACTGTCCTATACGTGCTGGAAACAACGGAAATGGAGAGTCCCGTCCTCAGCCTCTCGGCAGAGGTCTCTGTCACCAACATAGGAGGAGGTCCTGGAGCTTATTGAAGAATTCTCTCACTGCGCGTGTCTCGGTTTCCTACGGTACGAGAGAATGATGCACCCAAGGACGGAAAGGGATACCTGGAGCCATGGCAGTCACTTGATGGGCTCAAAATATGTCTTTGCGTTAAGAAATCTTGCCAAGGAGTATTTACAACATATTCATATGAATTAAAGTCTAATAAGCAAACTGGAAAAGGCAGGGCTGTGACAAAGAACTCCAGATTATAAGGCAGGTTAATAAAATGGTACCTTGTAAAATCGACAAAGTGATGGTGGCAACATATGCACAAACATGCTTGATACAACTGATGTATGGAATGTTATGAGAACTGTAAGAGCCCCCAATAAAATGATTTTTTAAAGAACCCCAAAAGTGCTCAAATATGAGAATATTTGTTAATCATACGAGAATGTGTATTAGTGCGAGAATGTTTCTTAATTATAAATCATGAAAGCATCTTGCACTGGAAGTTGCTGTGCCCTAGTATGGTCCCTGTATTTGAACTTTTGTAAGCTTTCTCCTCTGGTGTGAAAATAAAAACTGGCAGTTAGTGGAGAAGTCAGGAGGGTCGTCTCTCTCGAGTGCCTCTTCTTTTCCCTCATGACTCAAAAAATTTAAAAAAACTTTAAAGACCAATAAAAAATTAGATCTCAAATATATTTTTTTAAATGCCAAGCAACATCCTGAAATGTGGCATTAATTAATTAGGTCAAAATAAGGCCAGCTTACTTATGGCTTTATCTAACATAAACAGAAATTAGGGCAAACACGAGTTAACTTTTTAAAAGTAACTATACCCAAGCTCAAAAGAATTGGGTGGGGAGAGTTACACTGCCTACAATTCTGGAGATTTCCACATTCAGGCTGTGGTATTGCATATTTAAGAAACAGACTGCTGGGAAATAGATGCATAGCTGAATCTGTTTATGTGCAATGTTCAAATTATCATTGAGCCACGATGCGAATTAAAATGAGTATTTGGACAAACGAAGCGTGTAAGAGAACATAAGCAAGCACTTCATTGACTTGGTCTATTTCCATAGGTTTAGTTTCTTTTTCAAAATTATGATTGAAGGTGCGAGGGTGGTGAAACCAAATATGAACATGCTGCTCTGGCCCAATATTGTTGGCTATTTCTTGTTCCCATCATTCAGTCTCTGGAACCACAGCGGCTCTCAACCTGTGGGTCGTGACCCCTTTGGGGGTCGACTGACCCTTTCACAGGGGTCACCCGATTCATAACAGTAGCAAAATGAGTTATGAAGTAGCAGTGAAAATAATTTTGAGGTTGGGGGAGTCACCACAACATGAAGAAGAATATTAAAGAGTCGTGGCATTAGGAAGGTTGAGAACCACTGCACTAACTGGTCAAAAATGGAAGTAATATATGCTGCTGTATAAAGAAGGTTCCCAATCAGTGGAAGAGAAGGGGCTTTCAATTAGTTCACATCAATAAATGAAATTGATACCATCCTGAATGGAAGAATTTCAATTTACAGGTAACATGAGGTTGTGTGTTTCTGTGCCAGGAGCAATCATTCTAATCCAAATTTTAATCTTAATCCAAGCACACTTCTTACTCTTATTTTAATCCAAACCCACTTTTCATTTTAATTTCTCCAACCCCCCTGCCTCTTGTAGCACAGCAAGTTCTCTGTGCGTTAGTTAGGAGGGTGGGCAAGATGTCCACACTTCGCCCTAAGTCCACTGCAGCCTGACACAGGGCTAAGCCCCTCGTCTCCTTTCTCCATGTTCTTCTTAATGCATGTAGAGATCAGCTACGACGTGACTTCTCACCTGAACATTTGAAGTGTTTCATACACAGAATACGAGTGTTTAAATGAGGAAATGTGGTCTTAAAAAGCTACTCTGTCTTCCATTGGCCTTTCCATACTAGTGTTTCCCAATATATGACACGGGAAGGGCAGTACAAAATATTTAGAGCAATATAAATTAATGATCAGTGGAAGATTCACAGGGCAAGGCAGAGAAATGAGACATCATGTCAGCACCCTCCCAACTTCATTATGAGATGGTATCATCTCCAAGGAGTCCTGATGGAGCAATGGTTAAAGCACTTGGCTGCTAACTTAAAAGTCAGCATTTCACACCTACCCGAAAGCTGGAGGGCGAAAAGACATGAATACAAAAAAGTTAGTTCTTTGAAATGCAGCTGCGCTCTCCATAGGTTGCTCTCTTAGTATCTATTTTCTTCATCTAGGATTGCAAGGTTCAGAAAACAGAATGTTGCTAACTCTTAAAATGCAATACATGGACATCCACTCCATGACAATTACTTAAAACTCATTTATAGGTACACTTTATTTTAAAATTAACTTTAAAAGTTGTGTTTGCATACTTTATTTTCAAAGAATTAATTTTTTCAATAGTTCAAAAGAAATTATAGTGTAGATTCTGACATTAGTGAAAATTGGTGTTTTGGTTTTTTTTCATGTCCATCAAGGGACATGCCATGAGTTAAGGTGCAAAATTAGGCCATCAATTTTTTTAGTATATTGAAATATGTCAATATTTCTCATTGGGAAATAAAAATAGAAAGACAGGAAGAAAAGAAGGGTGGGGGGAAAGGAGAGAAAGAGAAGTAACGATTTTTCTTTAAAATTTTCAGAGTGATACAAATTATCCCTTAGAATTCAGAATGACCAACAATCCATGTGCTCAAAATTCAGGAACTTCTTACAGGTCAGCATCAGCATGGGACATCACCAGGCCGCTAGTCATTGAACACTCCCCATGTGAGCCTGGCTAGGCTTCTACAGCAGGGGTGAGGACCATCCGGCCCATTGGGCTTATAAAGCAAAGGTCCACGAAATCATCAATGCCCACTAACATCACACATCTCATCAAAGAGAAACAGAGGGGTGAGTTAATAGTTTGACCAGAATGGCCTGAGAATGAGGTTCTAAATATAAGAAAAACCCTTGGCAGGTGAAAGGTTCCTCACTCGTGTTCTACAGGATCCTTCTCTAAGGCTGTAAAGTACTTCACATCAGAAGTCACACCATGACTTTCTGAGCCCCCCCAAACCCCACCTTCTTTCTCAGTCTACATTCAGATTCGTCTGCTGAGTTGAATACGGTATTTCTCTGTATTCCTGGCTTACAGTGCCCTGTCACTCACAAACGTGTGCCTCCTGGTCTGAGATTTTCCAGTTTACATCCGCATGTCACATGCTGTGGTCTCCCAGGCCATCCTCCCTGAAATAGCGGCAGTCTGTGGGACGGAGACACGAGGGCAGCTTGCAGCACACTGAGCCACAGGGTGTGAAGCACAGGAAAGCACACTCCCTCTCTCCCTCTTCTCTGAGGTGTGTGATCAGAATTGGAGTGGGAAAAAGACCACTTGACATATTCAAACATTCACCACCCACCTTCTAGAAAAAAAGAAGACATGTATAAGAGTTGTATGAGCCCCTAATAAAATGATTTTTTTTTAAAAAGAGAAAAAAACATGCACACTAAGGCCACTGGGAATGGGGTGAGGGACAAGGTTCCCTTGGGAACAGGAAGGGAGCGGACCACCCCCCACCCGCCGCCCCCCAGGTTGTTGAGTGCCAGTTCCCAGGGCCTCCATCTTTAGCACTACATTAGCCAACACTGGCACATCCTAATGCTTAAGAAGATAGGCTCGTCTCCTTTCGAAAATGAAAATACTCTCACTCAACATTTTTATTCTGGAGAAAACAAACCACACACACAACGAAAAAAGATCCTGAAACATTTCGGGAGGGGAACTAAAGAAATATAAATGCAATCACTTTGACGTTTCTTTCAGGTGGAGGCCAGATGAAGAAACGTATGCAGCGACGTGTACTAGCACCTACATATACACAGATCATCATCCATCCCCCGCCCTAACCCTACAAAAAAAAAAGAGAAAACGTGTTTTTCAATATAGAAGCCATATTCATTACGAAAACAAAGCAAAGGCATGTGATTTCTGGAAATGTTAGTGTGAGCCCGAGTCCTTAAGGAAGAAATCACAGCCAACGCTGCAAAGAGCACAGAAGCGAGACGCAGAGGGCTGAAATGGCCCACCAGTGACGGGGGGCGCCTGCAGCTCCATCCTTGCACAGGCGGCAGCCAGCGACGTCCCCACAAAGGTCGCAGGAGGACAGCTTCGTCTTGGCGTTGTAGCTCCTCACCGCTTGTCTCCCTGTTCAAAGGGGCAGACATCAGTTTACACAGCTCCCTTGTTTGGAAACGTTCCCGCTGCCAAAACCTAAGAGCAATCCAAAACACTCTCCTCCGCTTTCCATTCTTGACATGATTTCATTGTTCTTTAGAAGAAACAACTGAGATGTTACATCAGTTCAAGAGGGGTCCAAACTGCTAACCCAACCCAAGAGAGAAACAATGCTTCCAGTCCAATCGATCCCCCACCAGCAGTTGGCCAGAATTAAAAGGGAGAACACGGAGTGCACTTGCACAACTTTAATCTCCTATTGCAACGGGACAGAGTTTAACTTGAGAATTGTTCAGCCTTCTCTAGAGCTACATTGTCCGCATTCAAATAAAATGCCCAGTAATTCACAGAGATTTTTATCATCGGCTTTGTTAAAAAAAAAAAGTATACACACGTCAGAGAAGTCTGCCTGGGCAATGTCCTTTGTGAATGTAAAACACTGAGCAAACAGCATTGGAATAGTACTGAAATATTACTTAGTCAACTGAGGGAAATTGAGAGAGCACTGCCTATTATAAAAATTCTATATAAAAAGTTCTATATGAAGCAGCTAGAAAATGACAGTAAATGTGTTCATTGCTGTACTACGAGGATTTTTAATTTTCACAACATCTGTTTAAAAAGCACATTCTGTTTCCAAATTTCTCCATGAGATCTCAGAGGGTTTTTGTTTGTATGTTTGTTTTTAATGTCTTCTAATTTTAGGGTGTTTTTTAATGGATTGTTAGGATTTCACTATTCAGTCTTTCCACATTTCCATTTTACAGTACCCCATTCAAAAGTAAATTGTTTTCTACAAAACACTTGCATAGTCTGAATCGTGTGTGTGTGTGTGTGTGTGTGTGTGTGTTTCCCCTTAAATATTTAAAACCTGCTCTGGTCACTTGAGAAACATCAACTGGGGGATTTTGCAATTACCTTATATACTCGAGTATAAGCTGACCCAAATATCAGCCGAGGCACTTAATTTTACCACAGAAACTGCATTAAAAATGTGCTAAAAAACAACTTATACAAGAGTATATATGGTATGTTAATGAAGTTGGATAACCAGGTACTGTTGCTGGGTCTCCACAGTGTATCAAACCTCTTCCCTAGAAAACAAAAAGAGGAGGTGAGGCTACATAATTTTCCCAAAATGCCCCATAAGAACCTCAGCATAGGCTCTTCTCCAAACAAACAATTCAACAGGAAAAAAAAAGATGAGAGGAAATGGTTCAATGGCTTAAAGTGAGAGCACAATATATCGCCTAAATAAATATTCTATCAAAGCTACCAACAAATATGTGTATAACGATGTTCATGTGACTGCGTTACCAGGATATGACTTATAATTAGACATGCGAGCCTAGAGACAGCATGTTCACAAAACGTCACTCTGTGACTGAACATAGATTTACTAGCCTGCGTGGGTCTGGTCTACATTGGTAAATCCACATCTCAATTTCTGTCACTTCATAAAATAAGAAACTAACAGTAAAATTCAAAAGCAGCTATTTTTTTTCCAAACAGACTCCTTTTCTCTTGATACACACACCAAAAAACTGTGATAATAATGTGTAAATTTTAACAAAAGAACAGACACCTCAAGAAACAAATTGCCAACCCCGCAGAGCTGAGGCTGTTGCTCTGAGGGCGCTGCTGCTGTTTTCCTCGGAAGAACTTCCACTTTACGACAGGAACCAGATGGAACGAGTGCTTGGAATATAAGCAAATGCTGGAAACTAAACATAAGTGGACGCTCCCCATTTTTCTGGGTAAACTTGGTCGTTGTGAACTGAAAATGTAAGCCATTCTAAGTGTGATATATCACTTTATGGTATTTCACATGCTCAATGACAGATGGATCGTGGGACTTCTGTAATGGTCAATTCTCTTCATTTAAGTGGAAAGCTCACCTCCTGCTTTCAATCTCCCAGTCCTCTCCACTCCTGTAAGCCATCCAATAAGTGAAGTGGCCACTTGGAAAAAGATCAATTAAAGAAATGCCTGCTTTAACTTCTAAATAAAGGTATCAGGGATTGCGGTACACACTTACTTGGTTCATAGTAATCCACTATGGAGACCGATGCATCTTGGGTATTTGAAACCTTATAGTTTCTCACAGCAGGAATATCAACACAAAACTGGGTTTCATTTACCTTAAAAACACAAAAGACTCTTGAGGGGGTGGCAGATAATGTAGTCATGATAAAATTAAAGGGTTTCTTTGGTTTGTTTTATAATCAATTTAGGAATCAGACAGAAGCCATCATCCAGGGAGGACTTCTACACGCCAGGCACTGCGCACGAAGTACTTTTTACGATGCATCGCATGGACCTCAACCAGCAAGCCTTACAGGAGGGCTGTTGTTCTCACTTCCATTTTCCTGACAGGGAAGCTAAGAACTAGGTGGTGACATAAGCAGTTCCAAGAGCACAGCACTTGTGACTGACTATGCGGTCCCCGTCCCCGGTTGCGGGGTCAACCGCTCATGACGCACTACAGCCCTCTCCTCTGAAGAACCCATTGGCGCCACTGGACCCAAGAAGCTCTCCTGAGCCGAGGGTGCAGCCTGCAGCCGACGACCGACCGACTGACCGACTGACTGACTGACCGACTGACGTGCAAACTCAATACTCTTGCCTCTAAGAAGGGTAAAGTCCGCAGATTTGGCAAAGGACACTAGTGAAGGAATCTGAAGCTCGTTGATTCATTCATACATTCCATTCCCGAGAACAGTAAATGGGAAGTCAGAGTGCATCCGTCAGAAAGTCCTGGACACTCAAGAACACCACTAACAAGGACATCTGAGGTACAAGTGAAACTCCCACTCTAGTTGCTTCACTAGATAAAAAAACCTCCATTTTTTCCAAGTCACTTCCAAATCGGGCTCATGGATTTCAAGCAGTATTCAATAGATAAAAACTTCTGAACAGTAAGAGACACAAGAGACTCGGAATGAGTTTTCACAGGATTGAAACCGGAGTCTAAAGTCTTTCTGAAGTCCTTAGAAAATTCCAAAACCAGATTAAAAAAACAGATACTCAGCAAGCTCTTTGTGATTCATCCTTAGCAAAACTGAAATAAGAAGCATATGCAGTCCCGGCTCTCGCCCCACTGCACACGAAACCCTCAGAATGTTCAGAATTCCATTTCAATTCGACCTACGAGTTTCATATCAATGTTAGAAGAGAATGAAAGCATAAGTCATCAGTTTTTGATAACAAATACAATACACTCTGGGATTCTTTGTTGACACAGCGTTCAGAACTTAAAGTCCTCACATTTTCTGCCCCTTTTTCTTGGAACAATAATTTTCCTATAGCAATGAGAAAAGTGTAGGATGATTAATTATACTGTGTCAAGATGAAACCTCAGACATCATTCTTTAATTTAAACACCTAAATTCTCCACGCAGGAATATGCGCCCTTTGGATTCCGTGGCGAGCTTCATGAAATACTCCACAACACTGACTTTCATGTTCAGTTCCCAAACAAAGACTTCTAGCAGTGTGCTGAAGCGGAGGTCCTCAGAAGAAGGTGTGGTCTACCAAAGCTTTTAAATTACACTATGGCAATTTCTTTATTTCTTACATCTTGCAGGAAGTACTAATTTAATTAGCTGGACCCTCCATGGGATCATCATCAAACATGATTCTCCTTAAACTAATTTTATTACTATTTCTTTTTTTTATTGAATACAAACAAACAAATGGCTGTCATGCTAATACCATTCCTGGACACAGACAGACAGAGATGTGACAATGACTAAAACCAAACAAGCAAACGAGGTTTCTGAGCCCGGCTGTGTCAGCAGCCACCCACGGGCGACCCTCCTTACCGAATCCAAGTACAGGTTGAGTCTCCCGTGATCATGCTCCACTTTCTTAACTGTCTCACTCGGGAGAATCCCCTCTGAGGGCACAGAGAAGCCACTGAGCAGCTGAACTTCCATCAGGGCCATGCCACTCCCACCTGGTCCTAAAAACCTAAACCGAAGAGGAGAGGGTGTAAGGACACTTGCAGGAAAAACAAAAGTTGATGGTGGTGAATGGTATGCATACAGAAATCCAAAGAGCTAAGTTTATTCTTTGAATTCTAGTAAAAATCATCCCAAAACATTTTAATCAGGGAAAATTTCAAACCAGGTTATCCAATAACTGCACATGTGATGTGCGCATACCTTCCAGCCCTGTGAGTGATGATGACATGATGCCCTACTCCTTTTCCAGGTCATACCGTATGGAAATGCCTGCATAGGGCACGACAGGGGTAACCCACATGCCCTTTCAACAGACAATGGGTTTTCCAGCGGTGATTCCGAACTGAATTTCAACTTTCAATTTCCTCTCACATGAACGGCACTAAACTTTCCAGCTCAAAGTCGGGAGCTGACAAAGGGGCGTCTCTTGACCACTCAGGGGAAGGCCCCAGCCAGGTGCTTGGGAACCGTTCCTTCAGCTGGTTTTAAAGAGGAGCGGTGGGGGAGGCCTCCCTTTGTTCTCCTGCATTCGAGGTGCAGTCTGTGTTCTCTTTGGCCACCTTGAGACGATCACAAGCCTTGGAAAGTTTGTTACCCTGCACAGTTCTCTCAGCCTGCTGAACCCAATCAAGGGATCTGAGCACCAACATTTTGTCGCCTTGAAAATAAATATTTTTTTCTAAAATGCGCAGGTGGCAGGCGTGTTTTTGTTTGGAGGAGAAAGAGCTCAGCCGGGTTCTGGAAAGCTGCTGCGCCCGCTCCTGCTGTCATTTCAGATGGCAAAAGCAAGAGGGGCGTTAGAGAAGCTTGCTCTTTAGAGGAGCAAAATGCTGCCTGCCAAACCCGACTGATTGAAAAGCCAGATGATGCACAGCGGTACAGACGGGAATTGGGAACGCAGGGAATCTAGGACAGAGGAACCTCTCAGGACCAGGGATGACAGTGGCGATACCAGAAGGGAAAGGGGATGTAGTAGGGGGGAATGGATCACAGGGAGCTACGTGTGGCCTCCTCTCTGGGGTACGGGCAGCGGAGGGGTGGGTGAAGGGAGACGCCGGACAGTGTAATATAAGATACAATAATAATTTATAAATCATTAGGGGTGCATGGGGGAGAGGGGAGGAGGAAGGGAAGGGGAGGGGGGGAAATGGAAAATTAGAGGCTAGCGAATTTTGGGAATGATGAGGGCAACAAATGTATAGATGTGCTTTACACAATTGATCTATGTATTGTGATGAATTGTATGAGCCCCAATAAAAATAAATAAATAAATAAATAAAAGAAAAGCCAGACACTGCGCGTGCTGACTTTAGCCTGTTCAGCAACGTGAAGCAGCTGAAGTCGTCTGCTGGGTGATGCGCTTAGCCAGAGCATATGCTTTTGAAAACATCTGGCTAGAAACTACAGGTGTTTGCAGCAGAGTGACATTAACAGAGGAGAAAAACAGTCACTCTGTTTATAGTCGGTGATTTTCCACACTTCCTCAAAAGTGCCTTGGAGACATGGTCTTTGTACCAGCCAGAACAATAATTTGTTATACCATCACGCCACACAGAAAACCTCTCTGAGATAAGCAATGGCTTAGGCCCTACTAATGAGAGTACAGAGTCTGAAACATCAGGTAATCTTTTTATAATATGCCACTGAGAAATTCACTTAAAGTATTATTTGCATTTCATACAAGTTTGGGAATAAAAATGTCACAGGCTAAATGTGAATCTGGAATCATTTTTTCAATGAAAGACAAGCTAATCACAAGAAGTAACAATTTCTTGAATATTAAGCATAGCTGGTTAATTTAAAGTTGTCTTAAACTAGACCTGAAACGTGTTAGTATGTATTTTTACTCAAATGTGTTTATAGATATATATATTTGGGAAAGTTATACTTAATTTTTAGACAAGTTTAAGAAAGGCTTAAATATAAGTAGCAGTGTTTCAAGTTTGTAATCTAAAGTATAATATAATATACAACTCAATTCTTTGTTAAATGTAATTCCTTCTATTAATATGGCTAAACAACTATGTGTAATTGCATGGTTAAATAACTATCTGTAATTAAATCCTTTATTTATTGTACCTGGTTACTAAAATTAATCACTGTAATAAGTATTGCAATTCATTACTATCTGAAATTAAATCTTTTTTCTAAAAAAAAACGAGTGAGAGGAGAAGCAGGAGAAGGAGGGGCCTATACAAAGGCCGACCTTGTGCAAACACTCAGATTCAAGTGGTTCCCATCATGCTCCTCATCGTGCACAGCAACATCTAAATCAAAGGCTTCTTGATTCCGGAGAGCTCGTCGTCGTCTAGAGGATTCTGAATTTTTCACATTATAAATAACGTTGAGCTGTAGTAAATAACAAGAAATTAGCAGTAAATTTTTTATAATAAATTGCCATCATTCTGTATTTCTGAGTTGTATTGTATAAAACTTTTAAAGGTGGAAGATTCCCTAACAATTTATATGAATCATATTAGAGAATTTTAAACTTTGCTTCAAAAAAAGCATACTCTCCAAGAGATGTTTTCAAATAGATTATTAATCCTTTCCATTACTGTCTACTCATTAGCTGGAAGTATCTGTACTATGTTTTTTATTAAAGAGGATGACTTATTCTGCCTAAGTCATAGATATAAAACACTAGGAGTTTTATACAAGTTAGCTAAAGATTAGCAATGTCTCAAACTCAAGAATTATTCTGAAAAGTTGCAGCTCACTAAGTGAAAATAAGCATTATTACATACCTGACAAATAGCAAATCCAAAACCTTCTGCAGAAATATTAATTGCAGTTGGCTGCACCACAGGAAGCTGAATAAAAGTATGGAGGATATTGTGAGGGAGGTTAGTTTTCTATATCTGTGTAGTTTCAAGTAACACAAAATCAGTGTTATCGCTCATGAAAATATAAGCCCTCTATGGAATAGACAACGCGCTTTACACAGCCTTACAGATCAAAAGTTAGGGCCAAGTCAATGAGGTGAAAAAGAGGAGTGTAGTGTCTCTGGACACCCTGCCCTCTGTCCTTCGGGAGGGCACTGCAGGAGCCCTGACAGCTCCGCCTTCCACTCAGGGCTGGGAAACATGCATGTCAGCTCTCCCCTAAGCTTCCTTAGCCAGGCCCTTACTCCTCTGGCCTTCCTGGGAGCACAGTGACAGGGCATCACTGACAACCTCAGCCTTCTTCCTTTTGCTTCCTTCCTAGCACCCCTCTTCCTCAGTTTCCAGCCTCGAAGTCATCATCTTTGTCCGCTACCCTAACTTCCCACATGGCTAGCCAAGGCAATAAAGTTAGGGACTGGGGCATCTCTTTATTCCATTGGAAAATAAGCATTTTACTACTGATTCTATTCAACTCTCCTACCCGAACATGTAATACAACTGAAATAGTCATGACCTTTGCATCTGGCGTTCAAACCCTAGCTCTGTTCCTGCTAGTACATAATTTTGCGGAAGCTACGTAGCTTTTCTAGATTTTCATTTCATCGTGCATCCAATGAGGAAAAAAGATCTACTTCCTAGTGTTATTTGAGAATTAAATAGGGGAAAAAAGTTTTTCCAAACAAGTCTAGCATAGTGCCTACGGCGAATAGGAATTCAGTGTACAGTAATCCCTTTCCCAATAAGACCATGTTCATCTTTTCCACAAATCTTTCCCAAGTTCCTATCTCCTTCAGCCTTTCCCAGCTCAGCACATTCAACCAGAGGAGGTCACCTCTTCCTCCCTGTCTCTCTACAAGGCCCTGGGAAGAAATCTTCGTGGAAATAAGCATAATGGTAATAAAGTCGTATTCCAGCTCAAAGAATCATCCACACAAAATGTTCAATACCCACCCCTTGTTCACACCCTGCGTTACCTACCTCTGCTGACTGAAGCAGAAAGCGTTTCTGTGTGTCAATCAGAAACTTTACAGGGTTTGGGGAACTAGGCCCCATCGCTGTCACTTGGAGGTTTGTCCATTCTGTGCTTGTTAGGGCTGCAACTTCGGAAAGGGCTTTCAAGGCCACAATGGTGTCCTGTTGAGGAAGTACAATGTTTGTGCATCTAAGTACATGGGTCGCCCCCAACTTATGGCACAGTTCTATGTTGACAACTCCATTGTAAGTTGGTTCTGACATAGCCAAATACCTTTCTTCCCTCCAGTGTTCATAATTATTGTCTTTTATTACTACTATCTTTGTAAATATGAGCTCTATTTGTCTTTGGGGGTTGGACGTATTACATACAAACTTACAAATACGGTGAGACTGAGGAGCTGAGAGGCAAAGGATCTGCAAAGTTGAGAGGCCAGAGGCCAGGGCATGCCCCATGGCACGGCTGAAAAGAAACAGTGCAGACAAAAGAACCACAGCCTTAATGCCCTAGGAGCCACTTACTGAAGGCTCACAATTGTGAGCAGTCTGGGAGTTCCGTGTGGCCATTGTAAAAGAGTATCAAGACCAGCAGAGAAACTGCGTGCTGTGGAAAGGTGTCAGAACAGTGCAAAGCAAGTCAGCATGTTGGGGGGTGGAGGTATGTCTGCCCTCTCCCTCAGAGGAGTCCTCCTTCCGCCTTGGGTAGCCAGACAATGTCAAACATTGCACACACACACACCAATGCCACTTCTTTAAGCAGTTCATCCTAACTCAAATGCATCAGACATTGGGAACTACCCATATATCAATGTCTCCAGTGACTAAATTTTGTATTGTTTATGACATCCACTACACAACCATCCATCTTCCTTGAGGATGGAACTCTCTAGGATTGAATGGATTGAATTATGTCCCTCCCCCAAATAATATATATTAAAAGTATAACCCCTGTACTTGTAAATATGACTCTATTAAAAATAGAATGTTTTCTGATTTTTGTGAGATATTTTTCTTCTTATTTAATGAGGTCATATCAGAGTAGAGTGGGTCCTCAACCTAATCATTTCTGAGCAATAAAACAGCACAACAGGCCTGGAAACACACAGGACCATGAGTGGGGGCGAAGACAAGCATCGGGAAGGGCAAGAAATGCCAAAGACTTCCTGGAGCGACTGACAAAATCACATCCTGAATTCACATGTCAAGCTTCTTCTTGGACACTGAGAAAACAGATATCTGTTCTTCAAAGTTGTTCATTGTGGTATTTTTGTTACAGCAACACTAAGTAACTAAGATACTCTTCCATGCTCATCTTTGAATCTCCTGGGCCTGGTTCACATGAGCGCTCAGCAAAGACTTGCTGAATTGAGCTGTACATCTACGTTCATGTCAGTTACCAGGACAGATGAAGAGTAGCTAATATAGTTAAGAAATTAATTTATTCCTAATAAATATCAGAGGTGAGTTTGTCATGAATACAAAAATTCATATTAGTAATGTAAATCTTTGAATTAGTAAATGCTTAAATGATCAAGTATATACATGTATATGTATATGTAGATGTATATGTATACACACACATTTTTTTAAACTAAGATTTCTCACCTGTGTAGATGCAAAACCTCCCCAGCTATTTCTTTGCTTGCTTAGCCACTTCATGACTGCAATTCCCTGAGGAACCTGAAACTGCAAGCAGTAGGAATGCAGTGCATAGGCAGCAACTTCGATATCCAGAGACCTTGGCTGCCAAGATTCCGTGAGTGTGGACACTGATGACACCCAGAATTGCATGTCTCCTGTTAGAGAAAGTTAACATTCAATCAACTACAGAAGAATCGCACTTTGTGTCACACAGTAGGCTCTCAGAAATATTACACTTGCCTTGGTCTTGCTAGGATGCCTTCCAAAACATCCCATCAAAACAGCAGCTTCCAAAGGGAACTGCTGGGCCAGTTACATTCAGGACAAAGAAGTCCATTCAGAAGGCTATAGCGACTGCTTTGTTTCCCAAAGCAGAAATCTTGATAGATTTCCTCAAAAAACAGGGGACCATCATGGTGGCTTTTATTATGAAGAAGTTTTAAGAAAACTGAAGATAGCATAGGTGAGAAAAAGGCCAAGAAATCTGGGCCACAGAGGCTTTCTTTCCTGCACAGCAAAGCGCCTGCCATTCTACAAGGGGAGCGAGCCTGTCCTCGGAGAATATTTGTTGGGAAACTTTACCCTTTCCACCCTACAGATCTGATCTTGCCCCTCCCACCTTATCTCTCTCATCCAAACACATACTGCTGGTGGATTCTAACTGCTGACCTTGTAGTTAGCAGCTCCAATGCACAACCCACCACGCCGCCCTAAAATCAGTGGTGCTCACACGGTCCTGTTGGGAAATGGAAGCTCCTAAGGTGAGCTGCAGAACCAGAACTGGATACCAAGTCTTTCCAGAACTCACAGTTTCAGAGACCATTCAAGGCCTCCACATCAAAAATGGGGCGAAGGAATCCGGGGAGTCACTGAAGGCAGTCAGGCCAGAGCTAAAGGAAAAAGCCCTGGGAGACTCTTAAGGAGACTAGAAGCAGTATAGCCACGTCTGGATCCATCTAGACCAGTGGTCCTCAACCTTCTGAATGCCGCGACCCTTTAATACAGTTCCTCATGTTGTGGAGACCACAGCCCCCAACCAAAAAACTATTTCCATTGCTACTTCAAAACTGTAATTTTGCTACTGTTATGAATCGGGCGGCCCCTGTGAAAGGGTCGTTCAACCCCCAAAGGGGTCGCAACCCACAGCTTGAGAACCTCTGGTCTAAAGGAAGGACATTTTACCAAGCAACCAAAAGAGAAGGAGCCCGACAGCCGGAGACTGAAGGCCTGGACAACTGAATGCAGGCACTGCATGCCCCCAGCTGGAGGGCACTGCGGGTCAGGAAAAACCAATGGCCATAAAAGACATACTTGGTAAACTTGGAGCCAGGCCGTACATTAGTGACCATGGTGATGTTCAATGTCCTGGGTTTGATCATTGCCGTAGGGTTATGAAAGAGGACGGTCTCTGAACTTATTCAGGCGTGTCATCTACAGTGGACTCTCACATGGTTCAGAAATCATATATAAACCATGAATGCCCAGATTATCCAACATGAAATTACCATCTGACCCAGTGATTCCACTGCTAGATAGCTATCCAAGGGGGAAAAAAAAGAATCCAACCAAGACTTGAACATGAATGTTCATAATAACGTGATTCATAATAGCGAGTGAGCAGAAACCCCCAAATAGTCATCAAATGATAAACGGATTTTTAATTTGCAAGTGGTAGAACCATGCAATATTCCACTATAAAAAATAATAAATTGCATTACTTCATGTCATTAATGCCCACTGAATTGTGCTCTTAAAAATGGCTAAAATGACTAATGTTCTATCTGTTTACTATAATAAAAGAAAGTTTATGAAAAGGAAAGAATTGCTGACTGATGCAATGTGGATGAACCTTGGAAACATGCTGATTAGAAGCAGCCAAAGGCCCAGGGAAGTCTGCAGGGACAGATGTCCATTAGTGATGGCTTAGGGATGAACTGGGAGGGAATGAGATGGAGGCAGGAAGAAAGGACAGGTTTCTTTTTGAGGTGATTAAATTGGTTTAGACACAGTGGCTCGCAACCTTCCTAATGCTACAACCCTTTAATACAGTTTCTCATGTTGTGGTGACCACCCCCCCAAACCAAAAAACTATTTTCATTGCTACTTCAAACTTGTAATTTTGCTACTCTTATGAATTGGGCAACCCCTGTGAAAGGGTCGTTCGACCCCCAGGTTGAAAACCGCTGATCTAGACTCTAGAATATATTCCATGTTTCATTTTTCAACTCATTCAGAAGATGTGTTCCGTGCTCGGATAATGTTCTCATGTAATTTCTACAATTTATAATGCACACAATACTCTAACCCCCAGACAGGTCCTAGTGACTCCACACATTACCTTCTTGCTCTGCTCTCTGAGTTAGGATATCCAAAGCTTCCGGGGCTAAAGGACTCCTCACTGACACCAGTGCGTATGTCACAAGGGCCAGAGTGTAGTTGTCTGAGATTCCTTGACTGAACTCCATCTCCAAGAAACGGATAGACTGTTGCACATCAATATTAGGCTTGAAGAGGAAATCGAAACATATATTACTCTTCTAAAGAACCTATGACCACATATTTGGATAAAAACACATAGAAAGAGCCAAAAGCTCAAATAGAATGTAAATGTTTAGAAAATAGGGATGGCAACATAGGTACAAATGTGCTTGATACAATGGATGTATGGATTGTTCTAAGAGCCGCCAATAAAATGATCTTTTAAAAAAGTACACAGATTCACTCAAAAACTTCATTTGTGTCTTATTAAGCACCTGGTCTTGTCTCAAGCAGTGGGAATCAGCAGTGATCATTGACTTTCAAAGATTCACCGTGCATTCTGAAAGTAACATTGCTTTTTAGTCTTTGCAAGTCAGGCAGCACCATTCCTTAGCGGGAATAAGAAATAAGAAGCAGAGCGTTTGCCATTGTTTCTTCAAGTGGATGTCATGAAAACAAATGGGCTGAAAAATAGGTCTTGAGAAAAATATTTCTTCTGTTGTTAAGGGTAAAGCTCTAAATGCAGAGACTAAGTATACCTTCTTTCTATGTGTCTAACGCCGAGCTAGGGAGATGTCTCATGCCCTTGGGTCACCTCTGAGTCACAGCAGCCCTACAGTAGAACTATCCCGTAGGGTCTCCCAGCTATAATCCTTACAGAAAGGAGCCCTGGAACACAGCAATTTAAGTGTTGGGCTGCTAGCTGCAAGATCGATAGTTCAAACCCATCAGTCACTCTGCAGGAGAACGGCGAGGCTGTCTGCATCTGTGAAAATTCACCCTAAAGGGAGGACCACTATGAGCAGGCAGTGGCTATGATGGCTGTGGATTTGGGTGTGATCAATAAAAAAGAATGGCTGTTTTCAATCACGTGAGTACTGGCAGTAGTAAGCACCAATCATCAAGGCAGCTCTAGCGCAAAAGTAGCTTAGTAGCATCACTTTCCATGTGTACACAGATGTACCTCAGCATTGGAGTGTGAGTACACTTTGTACTAAATTATCAGACTTTGTCATCGCCCCATGATATTTTTGAAGTTTTAAAAAATCTTCTTTCATAGCCTAAACTTGTAAGAACATGGTCTCCAATTCTAAAAAGCCATCTTTCCCCTAAAAGTTTACTTTCCTAGTGGTGAAATTTGTATCGACATCACTAAGCGTATGAAAGCACGACGATATCTTAGCCTATTTGTTCTGCGTGGGGTCCTCTGAAGAGGAGCTACCTGATACTTTTTGTACCCCAGGAGCGACGTCACGATGTAGGCGGTAAGTGTGAGCGGGCTTTTAGCGCCCCCTTGGAGCTCACTGTGGATCACTCTTCCCGGCTCCCAAAATGCACCATTCGATTTCTGATGTCCTTTGAGCCAAGTGTAGGTTCTTTGTAACACATTCTGATCAATATCTATGTAAGAATCCGCTTCCAGGAAACATCTCAAAACAAAAGCTGACAACCTGGGTGAAAGGGGGGAAATTACATAAGATTTACATTAGCAAGCCCTCCAAATGCCGCCGAGCAAGTAAAAAGCCACCACCATGCTTTCCCCCTCAGAAGACTCCCAAACTGGACTAGACCTGGAGAAAGGAACCCGGGGAAGAAAGACAGCAGAGAGACAAACCTGACAAGACACCCTCTTCCAGGGAGGCGGACTCTGTTCCGCCTTCAAGGCGGTCACGAAATGCAGGTGAGCTCACACAAAGCAGATGTGGAAAGGAAGTTAGAGAGCAACTACTCTGGCCTTCAATTTTACAGATGGAGAGAATCTGACACTCCGAGAGAGAGAGACGCTGTCGAAGGTTGCTCCCTGTTCTTGATATTTACTAAGGAACACTGCATTACATACTTCTTGAGGACCCAAAGGCAGATCGTTGAAAATCTTTTTAAAGAATGAAAAGTAGCCCCACATGTCTGTCAACGTCCACATGTCTGTCAATGTCATGGTAATCTGGGCCTAGTGAAATCCTATCCCGTGGCATGAATTTGCCCAGTTGGCAAAAACACTTACCAAGTACTCCCAGAAGGGTCATCATTCCCGAAAGCACTGAAAGAGCCATCGTCCCTTTGATAGAGAAGCTCTCTCTGGTAACCTGAGGACACACAAGAGGGGCTTTGGAGTTAATTTCCACTCGTGGCAAGCCCGTGTAGTACAATAGAATCACTTACAGGGTTTCCAAAGCTTTGACCTTTCTGAAGTAGATCACCAACCTGTCATCCGAGATGCCTCCGGGTGGGTTCAAACCGACAACTTTTCTATTGGTGGTTGAACACTTAGCTATTTGCATCACACAGATATTCCAGCAATGAAAGAGTCAACATTTATTCACCACCAACTATGCGTCAGGACTGTTCAAAGTCCCTGCAGGTGTTAACTCAGTTAAGGTGCTAACTCTACAATGGAGGTGCTATCAGTATCCTCGTTTTGCAGCTGGTGAAACTGGAAGTCAGAGAGTCAAAATGCCAAGCATAAGATGCAGAGACGGTTGTTAGTGAAGCTAGGAATTACCCAAGGTCTAGCTGGCTCCAAATTTACTGTCACCTGCCTTGCAGTGATTAAACATGATCTTAAAAACTCAATTTCACTGCCACTGAGTCAATTATGACTCACAGCAACCCTATAAGGCAGAATAGAACTGCCCCTGTGGGTTTCCAACACTGTGACTCTAGAGAGGCATAGGAAGCCTCATCCTTATCCTACAGAGTGGCTGGTAGTTTCGAACTGCTGGCCTTAACATTAACAGCACAACACCTAACTACAACATATAAAAAACCCTAAACAGTTCCTTTTAGATGGCAAGCTCTCAATAAACAACAGACGTTAATCTCTAACAGTGAAGGGAAAAAGTTCACTAACCATCCACAGCCGTCAAAGAAAAAAATAATAATTCTGATTACAAAATTTTTCCCACACTTTTTCCAAGGCAAGAACACACTGTACGTTAAAAGACAGAACACAAATTAATAGAAAATATTTGCAAACTAGAAGAGAGCTAAGTAGCTACTACACGTAGTATATAAGGAATGTTCTAGATGTTGGGCTTTGCTGGAGAAATATGAGGCTGTCTACTCCCATAAAGATTAGCAGTCTAGGAAACCCGATATAGGGTCAGTCCAGACTTATGGAAGCATATCTGGGGGGCTTGGGGTATTAAAAATGGATAAAAGACAAAAGAATGGAAGCCCACTACTATAGAATGGATTCTGATTCAGAGCAACTGTGAAGAGCAGAGTAGAACTTCCCTCAGGTTTGCTGAGGGTTTACGGAAGCCGTTTGCCTCATCTATCTCCCATGGTGCAGCTGGTGAATTTCAACTGCCTACTTTTTCATTATCACCTAATGCCTAAACCCGCTGTGCCACCAGGGATCCTTGGAGAAAAGACTTCCAAAAAATGACCCTTTTAACATGAAGGAAAGTGCAACTTTAATCATAATATGAGAAATGCAAACTAAAGTCGTGCCAGAATTTCCAACCCTTCAAATCAGCAGAGATTCAAAAGTTTTAGCCGCTCATTCTGCTGGGGAGCCAATAGGAATCCATTGCTAATAAAGAATTCAAAATAACTCCTATATAAAAGAATGTCTTTAATTGCTTGGTCTAAAAATTCCTGTTAGAAATCTACCCTGAAGTTACACCCACAGCAACATAAAAACATCTCTGCCTAAAATGACTAATTGCAGGATCATTGATGATGAAGAAATACTGGAAACTACCTAACGCCCCCAAATTAGAGACTGGCTGAGTAAGTTACAGCACAATGGAAACAATGGAGTGTTGTGCCGTTATGAAAACCAGTGAGGGTCTCTCTGAACAGAGGGGTAGTAATTAGGTTATACTCTTACGTTAAAAAAAAGCACATTCTGAAAGAGCATTGACAGAAGGAAACCTTTGTATATTAAAAAAAGAAAAAGGATGGGGGGTGGCGGGAATGAGAACCTAGAAATGCATACAAGGGGTACCCAAAACAGCCTGAAATTTTTTGGTCAAAGCTATGTATTTAACTTTTTTTACAAAACAACCTTATCACCTTCAAAGTACTCTCCATTACATTTAACAAATTTGTCAAACCTGCGATTCCTCTAGAAACATTTTTCAAACTCATCTATTTGGATGGCTGATGGTACCTCCCTCGTTTTTTTCTTCACCTCTTCTACGTCATCAAATTGCTGTCCTTTCATGTCCCTCTTTACCGGCGAAAACAAAAGGTCACACAGGTGCACGGGGCAAGAGAGGCATGCTGATTTTTGCCCAAAACTGGGACACTGAGATGGCTGTGTGAGCAGGTGCATTGTCATGGTGACAAAACCAGTCCCGTCTGCCACAAATCAGGACTTTTATTTTTAATTAAAAGATCATTTTATTGGGGCTCTTAAAGCTCTTATAACAATCCATACATCGATTGCATCCAGCATATTTATACATATGTTGCCATCATTATTTTCTAAACATTTAATTCCTATTTGAGCCCTTGATATCAGCTCCTTTCCCCCACCTGTGACCCCGTGATAAATTAGAAATTATTTATTATAAT